CTTGATACCATTTAAAATATTTTTTTAAAAATTACTAATATTGTTTAAAATATTTTTAACAATATTTTTTTTATTGCTTAAAATGTTTCTTAACGGTATTACTAATACTGTTAAAAATTTAAATCAGCTTTTAAAAATATTAGTAATAATCCCAATACTATTAACTTTCATATCTTTATACCACTTAACAACACGTCATATTTTTTAACAATATTGTTTAAAATTTTTTTAAACAATATTACTAATATTGTTTAAAAAATTTCAAAGTCAGTTAAAAAATTATTAGTAATAATACCAATATATCATTAACTTTCCTATCTTTCATACCACTTAACAACACAAAACTAACCAATATTTTATTTCTCCTACGCGAGCACACTCTCCACTTCCAATATTCCTATCTAACAAATATACTAATATTGTTTAAAATATTTTTAACAATATTACTAATATTGTTTAAAAAATTTCAAAATCAGTTAAAAGATTATTCGTAATAATACCATATATCATTAACTTTCATATCTTGATACCATTTAACAACACAAAGTATTTTTAACAATATTAGTAATATTGTTTAAAATATTGTTTAAAATATTTTAACAATATTACTAATATTGTTTAAAAAATAAAAACTCAGTTTTAAAATATTAATAATAATACCATATATCATTAACTTTCATATCTTTATACCATTTAACAACACAAAGTATTTTTTAACAATATTACTGTTTAAAATATTTTTAACAATATTACTAATATCATTTAAAAAATTAAAAATCAGTAAAAATATTAGTAATAATACCAATATATGATTAACTTTCCTATCTTTTATACCATTTAACAACACAAAACTAACCAATATTTTATTTCTCCTACGCAAACACACACTTCGCTTCCAATATTCCTATCTGACAAAATTACTAATATTGTTTAAAATATTTTTAACAATATTACTAATATCATTTAAAGAATTAAAAATCAGGAAAAATATTAGTAATAATACCATATATCATTAACTTTCCTATCTTTTATACCATTTAACAACACAAAACTAACCAATGTTTTATTTCTCCTACGCGAGCACACTCTCTGCTTCCAATGTTAAAACAGAAATGTACAAACACGCTCTACGCTTCCAAAAATTAAAAATCAGCTTTAAAAATATTAGTAATAATATCAATATATCATTAACTTTCCTATCTTTATACCACTTAACAACACAAAGCTAACCAATGTTTTATTTCTCCTACGCGGACACACTCTCCTCTTCCAATGTTAAAACAGAAATGTACAGACACACTCTCTGCTTCCAAAAATTAAAAATCAGCTTTAAAATTTTTAGTAATAATACCATATATCATTAACTTTCCTATCTTTTATACCACTTAACAACACAAAACTAACCAATATTTTATTTCTCCTACGCGAGCACACTCTCTGCTTCCAATGTTAAAACAGAAATGTACAGACACACTCTCTGCTTCCAAAAATTAAAAATCAGCTTTAAAAATATTAGTAATAATATCAATATATCATTAACTTTCCTATCTTTTATACCATTTAACAACACAAAGCTAACCAATGTTTTATTTCTCCTACGCGAGCACACTCTCCACTTCCAATATTCCTATCTGACAAAATTACTAATATTGTTTAAAATATTTTTAACAACATTACTAATATTGTTTAAAAAATTTCAAAATCAGTTAAAAGATTACTCGTAATAATACCATATATCATTAACTTTCATATCTTGATACCATTTAACGACACAAAGTATTTTTTAACAATATTACTAATATTGTTTAAAATATTGTTTAAAATATTTTAACAATATTACTAATATTGTTTAAAAAATAAAAACTCAGTTTAAAAATATTAATAATAATACCATATATCATTAACTTTCATATCTTGATACCATTTAACAACACAAAGTATTTTTTAACAATATTACTGTTTAAAATATTTTTAACACTATTACTAATATCATTTAAAAAATTAAAAATCAGTAAAAATATTAGTAATAATACCAATATATGATTAACTTTCCTGTCTTTTATACCATTTAACAACACAAAGCTAACCAATATTTTATTTCTCCTACGCAAACACACACTTCGCTTCCAATATTCCTATCTAACAAAATTACTAATATTGTTTAAAATATTTTTAACAACATTACTAATATTGTTTAAAAAATTTCAGTCAGTTAAAAAATTATTAGTAATAATACCATATATCATTAACTTTCCTATCTTTTATACCATTTAACAACACAAAACTAACCAATGTTTTATTTCTCCTACGCAAACACACACTTCGCTTCCAATATTCCTATCTGACAAAATTACTAATATTGTTTAAAATTTTTTTAACAACATTACTAATATTGTTTAAAAAATTTCAAAATCAGTTAAAAGATTATTCCTAATAATACCATATATCATTAACTTTCATATCTTGATGCCATTTAATGACACAAAGAATTTTTTAACAATATTACTGTTTAAAATATTTTTAACAATATTACTAATATCATTTAAGGAATTAAAAATCAGCTTAAAAAATATTAGTAATAATACCAATATATCATTAACTTTCCTATCTTTATACCACTTAACAACACAAAACTAACCAATATTTTATTTCTCCTACGCAAACACACTCTCCGCTTCCAATATTCCTATCTGACAAAATTACTAATATTGTTTAAAATATTTTTAACAATATTACTAATATCATTTAAAGAGTTAAAAATCAGTAAAAATATTAGTAATAATACCATATATCATTAACTTTCCTATCTTTTATACCACTTAACAACACAAAGCTAACCAATATTTTATTTCTCCTACATGAGCACACTCTCCTTCCTCTTCCAATGTTAAAACAGAAATGTACAGACACATTCTCCGCTTCCAAAAATTAAAAATCAGCTTTAAAAATATTAGTAATAATACCAATATATCATTAACTTTCCTATCTTTTATACCATTTAACAACACAAAACTAACCAATCTTTTATTTCTCCTACATGAACACACTCTCCGCTTCCCATATTCCTAACGGAAACGGATCTACACCATATCCCTAATATTATTTTAAATATACAGAAAATCCTGATTTTTCTCTCCTTTATTCCACATTCCTCAGACGAGGAGGGTTCTGCTTTTTTATTCCAGGGCTGCTTTCGGGAAAGAATCCGAGGTCCTGATCGGCAATTTGGGCGACAAGCTGATCCCTCCTCAGGAGATCCTGCGCGACGTCGGCGACCTGCGAGCCTTGGCCAACCTGCAGGAGAGCCTCGAGTGGCTGGCGGGACGCGCCCGCGCGGCTTTGGGTGGCCTGGCGGCACCCCAGGGTGAGCAGCACCCATGGGAAACCCTGCCCGGCACTGGGAGAGGGTGGGGGGGTCGTTCCCAGGGGGGTGGGAATGCAGCTTCCCTCTGGAAGGTCTGGGATCTTGGCAGGGATCAGGAATCCATGGGCAGAGATCACAGACAGGGTCTCTCTGCAGAGCCCCCAGAGACACTGGCTGTGGTCTCTGCCCATGGAAAAGAGTTTCCAATCTCACAGCATTAATTACCACCTCTGAGTGTTTGATATCAGTAATCAATAAGCGTGGCACGGGTGGAAAAGTAAAATTTTAGGATTCTAGATTAGAGGACAAGCTGGATGAAATTGGGTGTGCCTTGTCCTTTTTCTCCTTCTTCATGCCCTCCATGTCTCACTGTGGTGTTGGCATTTTTCTGTTGGTTCAGGCTGGGGACACACTGTCCAACGTAGGTGACAGATATTGGCACGTTCTTGTAAATGCAGCCCAGGGAGTTTCTGGTATTTAATGTTTGTNTTTCTCCTTCTTCATGCCCTCCATGTCTCACTGTGGTGTTGGCATTTTTCTGTTGGTTCAGGCTGGGGACACACTGTCCAACGTAGGTGACAGATATTGGCACGTTCTTGTAAATCCAGCCCAGGGAGTTTCTGGTATTTAATGTTTGTAGCAGAATCCTGAGGGAAGGGGTCCGGGACTGGGGGCAGCTGAGCTCTCCTGGGAGTTGAAAATCAGCTCAGATTTTTATTTTATTTTTTTCTGGGCAATCATGAGGGAAATTTGCTGGTGCTGAACAAAGTCACAGTGCTTTATGTCTGTTAAATATTCTTGTCAGCAGAGCCTCTCTGGGTGACTGAAATCCTTCCTGTGGTTCTGCCTCTGCTCTAGAGCAGGACTTTAAACTCCTCACTCAGCTTTCCATGGATCAGATCCTTTGGATCCAGAAGGAAAATGAAGGTTATACAACCAGTTAACATTTAAAACCCAAATTACTCCAGGTAGTTTTAATATTCCTGTAACCCATACTTTGACTCCTCAGTACCTGGGTGACAACACTTGCTCTTTTCTAGCGTTTTTTGTTATTAAACAAATAACAAAATTAAACAAAGCCCAGTGGGAAACGCTATCAAAACCCAGTAGACAAATATTTCTTTTATTTGTCTATTTATTTACTAGGAGAGTTCTTGGGGCTGAGGATTTGTGTTCTAACAGTCAGAGCTGTTAAAAGAAAACATCATTTATAATTTGAGGTCTGGTTGAAACTCAGATTTTTTAATAAATCAATATTTTCCAGACATTAAAGGGCACGAGCATGACTTTCAGGCCTCGGAGAGGACGTTCCACGCAGTGGTGAATAAACATAAAAGCACAAAGTGTAATATTTCACTTGGCAGCGTCCTCCTGACAATAAAAATTCATCTTCCTTTGTAATAACTTCATCCTAAAACGTCTGTACACAAATCCAGGAGTGTCTGGAACAAAGGGAAGAAGGGGCAGTGGTAGGAAATGACAGAGGCTGGCCTGACCTCCTGCTTATAAATGAAATTTTCATCCTTTGTCCCTCTTTTTTGCCCCAACAACTTGAGATTCAGTGCTGACCCAAGTGTTCAGTGACCTGAATTTTTGGTGCAATGCCAGAAATTCCCTAATCCCAACAAGCCCACGTGCAGGTGGTGGCCCTGGGGGAAGGCAGCGGGTTTTCCAGCAAAGCTTCCTTGGATGCAGACAGATAATAAATATATTTTGTAAATTTTTTTTTTATATTTTAATATATTTTATATTTGTAATGTTTTTATTTTATAATAACTATGCTTTATAAAATTATAAATAATAAATTCCCTCAGGCACAGCTCTGAACACCCAGAAAGCACAAGGTGAAGCTGGACAAGTCTGATTTTGGGAAACCCCAAAAAGGGGCGTGACCTGCTGGTGGCTTTGGGGTGAGGCTGTCAAAGGCCCCTTCCCAGAGATAAAAATTCAATAATCTTTGGCTGTGGACGTGCCACAATTATCCCTCATTTAAAGCCAGCCTTGCTAATGGAGAGTTTTATCAGGCTGGGCAGTCTCTGCACTGTTCATTATTTGGTGTTTGCTGAGCTGATGGTTCTTCCATGGCTCTGCCCTTATCTGCTCCCCTTCAGAATTGGATTTTTTATTTCCCAAACCAGTCAAATATGACAAAGTAATTCCCTTCTGCTCTTGTCTTTTGAGGGAATACAAACTCCTTTTTAACAATAACCATTTAAGGATTAAAACTGCTGGGAGAAGGTGAATTTGCTGAGGAAGTCGAGTCACTTTTAAAGGGGTTTTATAGGAAAATGGAAGTTGGGTTTCCTCTCCTCATCTTCTGTGCTGCAGACAGAACACAACCTCAGCGTTTTCCTTCGTGGGGCTTCAGCCTCCCGAGGTTCCCTGAACATTTTAGAGGAATTATTATGAACCACGAAGGAGTTGGGACAGTCTTTTTAAGGATTTTTAACATTTTTAAGGCCATTGCTAGTTTGTAGGGGGGAGGATGAGAGATGAGCTGTTGGCTTCTGGAGTTGGAGCTGCCCTGTAAATTCAGCTGCTCTTGGCACCTCGGGGCTTGAGGCTGTTAGGACCTCCAGGGAATGGCTGAGAGGCTTCAGCTCGGAGCTGGGAACTGCTCTGGCATGGAATCAAATGGGATTGGGTGGGAAGGGACCTGAAATCCCACCCAGTGTCCAGGGACACCCCCCACTGTCCCAGGCTGCTCCAGCCCCATGTCCAACCTTTCCTTGGACATTCCAGGGATCCAGGGGCAGCCCCAGCTGCTCTGGCAATCCCAGCCCAGCCAGGAATTCCTCATTCCCAA